AACGATCACCTCTCTATAAAGGACACTCTTAACTTTCCCTTAAGTAGCAGTTATACAGTGAAACCAATGTTGATAGAACGATCACCTCTCTATAAAGGACACTCTTAACTTTCCCTTAAGTAGCAGTTATACAGTGAAACCAATGTTGATAGAACGATCACCTCTCTATAAAGGACACTCTTAACTTTCCCTTAAGTAGCAGTTATACAGTGAAACCAATGTTGATAGAACGATCACCTCTCTATAAAGGACACTCTTGGCGTTTTCCGAGTGGCAGTTATACAGTGAGACGGCATCTATGTAATGGGTACCTGTCCGTAAAGGACGCTCTTGGCATTGAGTTAGCCTTACTTGCAGGTTTGAATGTAAAGTGCGTTGTAGTGCAACGATGTTTCTCGTTGCCACTGGAAGACTGCTACTGCATGTTTAAACGTCAGCATCTCCGTGAGTTATAGTGCGACGATATCTCTCATTGCAGCTGGAAGACTGCGACTATAAGTCGTTGAACCCGGACGACATCCGCCTGCCGCCGCCGATGCCTCCTAACGAACGTCTGCTGGCAGCTGTGGAAGCCTTCTACAGGCCTCCGTCGCACGAGCGCCCGCGCACTGCGTACGTTCATTCTCCCGTCGTCGTCGTCGTTGAACCCAGTCTTTGCGCGCCATCGTTTTGAGTTTAGAGTTGGCGCAGCTAACTCATTTTGCACTGCAAATGTTCTCTTGTCGTTAAACATTTTTTGCGCGCCGTCGTTTCGAGTTTTTCCGTGATGCAGCTAATAGAGGGGGACAATGCCACGTGCTGTTTGTGTTCTTGGTAGCAAGGAGCTAAATATAACAAGGAGAGGAAGCGCCACCATATCTGGCCCAAATTTGGGTTCGGCAGAGACCCTAGAACAGATTAGTGTTCTATTGTCTCTGGGTTCGGTCTGCACAGCCGTTTCAGCTGATTATGGTCCATAGATGGCGCTCTTGAGGCGAAAAGCACACAGCCAATCCGCTTCCTCTCCTTGTTATATTTAGCTCCTTGCTTGGTAGTTGACTGCATACATACGCACGCACGTACATACACACACGCACATATACCACCATATATACATGATTCTTGCATTCAAGCAAGGAGGGGAGGGTTCTTTGCAGTTGGTTGTGGCATGTTCATTATTGCTCATTGATCTTATAACACATACGTACAAAATACGTATGTACACACACACACACACACACACACACATACTAACATACACGCACATATACCATCATTATTCTTGCGTTCGACTGCCCTCTGGGCCACAATTAAAAAAATCTTTGTTTGCCGTCACCCGACCCAGGCTGAAAAGTTTGGGTAGGTCGGTAGGCTTCTTCTTTCTTTTTTTTATACAAATTCAGCATGGTGTCTACATGCTCAGGTGTGCTTGTGTGGAGATACCTTTTATGTTGAATGTTTGTTTTGCTTGGTACATATAATGTATTGCCTACAGATTTATATAATGTACAATGATACAATTTGTAAAAAAAAAAAAAAGGAAAAAAAGTGAAAAATCAATAAACATTTTTGAATCGGCCCCATTTTGGCGGGTCGGTCGGGTGAGGGCAAACAAACAATATTTTTATTATGCCCCTGGCGTTCCCTTCACTAGCTAGTGCCCTGCCATTGAATTGCCTATTTCCTTTCTCTCTCTAGCGAAGGCTGGGAGAAACTCGGCCTCTACGAGTTCTTCAAGGCAAAGAAGCAAGCACTTCAGGACCAGAGAGCGAAGGGAGTTCCTCCGCGCTCGCGATCCAGGGGACGATCAAAGTCGACGTCGCCAAGGTCGCGATCAAGGTCGAGTTCAAGGTCGCTGTCGCCGCCGCGGCGACGGCGCTACAGCGATCGCGTGCGCTCGAGGTTTGTTGTCGACTTGTCACCTGTAGTGAATTTCGAATAACATGATAAAGCTTTGGTATGCGCAGGCGAATCGCGGAGTGCGTTGAACCATGACTGCACCCACCGGCTAAAAGTGTGCGCTGCTTCAATGAGAATTTGTGAACTGTGTAATGAAAAAGTGTGCAAACCTGTATAATGTGGAGAGTAGAAAGCGGACCTCATACAATTACTGCACAGTGGCAAGATCAACATTGGGTTTTTCTGACCTCGGGGTGTGGGGGTGGGGGGGGGAGGAACACCTTGGGTCTCGGACGGAATTGATGTTCTGAGTCAACACAACTCATTGTTGTCCATGAAACCATGGAATAAGACTCTAGTTATATGTGATTACCGTATATGATCGCATAATAACCGCGGGCGCCTATAAGCCGCACCTCAATTTGAATCGGGTAACCAAGTATTGCGCCTAGTATATTTCCCCTCGCGGTATGGCGCACTTTTAAACCGCAGAGCAATTACAGGGTTGAAATCTGAGGCTAAATTTGCGGTTATTACGCGAGTATATACGGTATGTACCAATTTGTGAAATTTGTAAAAAAAAATCTTATTTTTAAGGTCGAGGTCAAAGTCTCGAAGCCGAACGCCGCCCCGCACGAGACGCGGGCGTTCAAGGTCAAGGTCTGTGTCAAAGTCAAGGTCACGCTCTCGTTCGGTGACCCCTCCGTCGTATCGCCGCAGATCTCCCGTACGAAGAAGCCGATCTCCACATAGTTTGTACGTTCACTTGTTCTACCATGTACTTTATGTATAATAAACTGTGTGTTTGTCGTCAAAGATTCAAGCTGTGACAACTTCGAATGCGCATAATTACAGCTAACGTGAGTAAATAATTATACAGGAATTCTTGCTCAACTAAAGCTTCCGTAGCTGTTATAATTTCATACTTAATTTATGTCGTTCACTCGTTTAATTACAGCATATAAATAGATTAATCAGGATAACACACACATACCTGACTGAGTTAAATTACCCTTTCCATGCGTTATGGTTGCATAACGATGCGTGGTTATAGTATTAAATACTTGGCGATAGGGTGTAATAGACGGTAAAGGCTATATGTCTCTCTCATATCATTCTCCGCTTTCCTTGTCTAAGCTCACAATAAACACAATGAATTGATATATACGCATCAAAGCTATTTTCAGTGTTAAACGACAGACTGGAGGACGCGGAGAATTATCACATTTTCGAGGCAGCGTCGTGCAACGATTGAGTGGTTACTGTTCTCCAGTTGAACATACCAAGAGGTGCACAGAGATATACGTAGGTGATATTATACGATATATATATATACACAACATTTATAATATATAATATAGGCCCTAATTATTGTGCATTATACAAAAACAGTATTTATTATCTCCTTAACCTGTCAGCCTGGGCAACTTTGCCAGATAGTCTATATGCGAGTCAACCACCGCGGATTAGTTTCCACTTTTCGTTTTCCAAGTTTATATAAATTAGATATGAAATTCGTGCACGTCAAATTTCTAGTGCCAATTACGTCGCTGAAGGACACGGAGAATCAACATGTGTTCGAGGCAACGTCGTCCAACGCTCGCCAGCTGAGCATACCAAAAAGTTTATTTTTAACGTAGGTATTATTTACTATACTATAGCACACATATGTTATGAATCTATAGTTTGGTTATCTATTGGTTTGTATAGTGAGAATGAAAGAAAGCTATAATTAATTTGGACTAGGATACTCGCAGAATGTATTTACAAGCGAAATTTTAGAGCCATTTTGTTCGTAACTCGGCTGTGCCGTGTAGAGTATCTTGACCGGCTTCTTGTATAAGATAATCCTATTAGAAAAGATGAGAGAGGGGAGAGAGAGAGAGAGAGAGAGAGAGCGCACAAGAAAAGGCGATAGTTAGATACATGATAAATAGATAGATAGATAGATAGATTGAGAAAGAAAGAGAGAAAGAGAGAAAGATATATGGAGACAGAGAGTGTGGGAGAGAGTGAGGGGAGGACGAGACAAGGATTTCTACTGTATATGGAGCTACTCGTAGATAAATCGTTACTGGTCACAAGTATTTATTCTCCTAATTCATAGCATAATTGATGCCTGCTGTGATTCTCAGTTCCACTGACATGATTTTATTGTTGTAAACCTTATTAACCATGTGTATATATACGTCTGTTTCAGCATGGGACCGATGCATTCGATGACTTTAGATACAAAGTTAGATGAAAGTAACAAAGGACACATGCTGATGAAAAGAATGGGTATGTATTTAGTCGCCTGAGTTACTCTTCGTGCTACTAACGCACCCATCAGTGTGATTACCTCATACGTAGTCACCCTATATGTAGTTACTTGCGGGATTTAGTTATCCAGTAACCAAGGGTCTTTGTGAGCGTAAATCAATAGGACCGCTCTGCCAAGCCTCAGTGAATATCAGTGTGTTACTGTTAGCCAGAGACCCATCTACCGGTCTTTTAGACGGCCTATTCTTGGATGAGACGGATGAAATTTGATAGAGACGGCATAAGGGCGGCCCAATTTTACCCCTGCATGAAAATAAAATCGTCGGTTTTTCCTCGTGTCTCATCGATCGATTCCGTATCTGCTCCGTAGAGAACCTCACTTCGCTCAGATGGTGAGACTCCCTGATTTTTCCCCCTGGCTAACATCCTGGTGAATACCTTTCCTCGTGACATTTCTATAGTCACGTGGCTTAATGGTACTGTAGTATTAGTATCGTATGTATGGCGTCAACATCATACCTCCACAGCGCCACGGGCAATCCAGTTGCAAAGGAGTTTGCCAATGCTTAACGGTAATAACGGATCTGAAATCCACGACCCAGCGTAGATCCCCATGTATGTGTTAACCTGTGCGGTACATGCCACGTTTTTATACCCCCGCAAACGAAGTTGCAGGTATATAGGAGTCATCTTACGTTCGGTCGGTCAGTCGGTCGGGTGGTCGGTCGGTCCGTTGCAAAACGTTTGTGGCACGAACTACTTCCACAGTTTTCAAGGGATCCAAATCAAACTTCATACACTTGATCACCATGAAGTGTAGATGTGCGTGACATATTTTGTGTGCGAGTCGGTCAAGGCGTTGCCATGGAAACCGTATCTCATCTTTTTTTCTCTTTTTTTAATTCTATCATATTTTTTATGTTCTGTGTATTCTTTACTTATAATATATGCCACACCATGACCTTCCATTTCCCCTCCGGCAAAGCGGTATTGCGGGGGTATTAATCAATATCAGTGATAGCTCCATCTAGTTGCTACTAAATCTAATACTAAACGTTTTTGCTACTAAATCGTAAAATCAATCGTAAATCGTACTTAATCGTAATAACGGATCTGAAATCGACGACCCAGAGTAGACCCCTGCATGTACGACACCCTGCACGTGTTTGTCTCGCACGTAGGTTGGGGCGGCGCGGGTTTGGGCGCTGCGGAGCAGGGTATCCAGGACCCGATCACGCAAGGAGAGGTGCGAGACCGCGTTGACATGTACAAGGGCGTTGGAATTTCCGTGGACGACCCGTTCGAGAACTTCCGCAAGAGCAAGAGTCAGGGTTTCATCCAGCGCATGAAGGAAGCCCAGGAGGCGCAGAAGAAAACGACGGCGAGCGCTCCCAGCACGTGACGCTTGGCGCCATCTTCAGGGCGTTCGCTGAACTAGGCGAAAGAGAAATTCCAATCGGAAGAGAAATTGTAAATGTCGAGCGTTGCGAGACTTTCCCGTCGCGTTTCGAACGGAGGTTCCTTGATGTCATAGTCGCCACATATGTTAGTGTGTGAAGTACGCCGAAGTTTACCTATGTCCATCTGATCAAGATGATTGAACCCATGTGCTGGTCAGTGAAGCTAGACCAGTCTACATATGTTTTTCACGCGTGGATATTGTTGGCTTTACGGCACTTAGTTGCCAAGTATTGTCTTTGGGAACATTCTTTTTGCAACAGCAATTCAGTAGGGCTGACTAGCAGTCCTGTCCGGCAGATAGGTCTATTTATTTCCATCTTGCCACAAGATGTAACTGATGCTTGAACTATGGTGTTGAAATCAGTGACCTGTAGTTATTTACATTGCATATTGGCCAGGTTGGCCAAGTGGAGAGACTATTGTTTATTGTAAGGTTTGATACATTGCATCAAATAGCATTGATTAAATATGTTCGACTGCATATAGATCAATCACTGGAGGTTATAGACAGTGGATGTAAAAAATATGAGCCGCCACATTATGTAGTAAGCAAATAAAATTCGTCTACCTTATAACGTTTCTTGTTGATTCGTATGTTTAGTATTGTTTACATGTCTGTTTTTTGTCCAGTGGCATTTTAGCAGGTTGTAATAATGCCTAGCAGGCTATCAATTTACCTATCAGATAGACTTATGGGTATTTTCGAGTCAGCAAGGAACACCTTATTCCCTTCACGTCACGTGTCTATATACGTAACGTAAGTCTCGCATATTCAAACATCATATATTCAAAACATTCATACATTTATCACTAGACGGTTATATTTTGCATATCTGGTAGTAGGACGTTTATGGAAAAAGAACGCTCGTATCAGTCAAAATAATAATGTGGAAGTATTACAATTATATTTATTATTCTTTTCTTTTATATATATTTATTGTCCTTTACTGTCTTTTCCTTCCAATTCCACCGTCACGTTTGTTATCGATTGTATCACTTTAAGAACACAGAACAATATAATAATAACAATGAGTTATGATTATGAAATAATTGTATGAAATCACGTATATAGTACACGTTAGAACAGTACTAATAACTTGCCGCCCAATAAACATGCCACCCAAAGCACGTAGTAAACCCAAACCCGATCGGGCCTTGCAGAGTGTGGATGAAATCAAAAAGCAGATTCAGTATCATCGACAAATGAAGACTGCACTAGCGGTAAGCTACCTACATCTATAATATAATTCTGGAGTAATTTAAATGTAGACTCAATTCGTAACTGCGGGTAAAGTAGTGCACTATTCACGTACTACTAGTTCACAATACACGCGACATGATCAAGGAAGTAACAATGTCAATGGTGACGTACCACGCCCCTGTTGTACCCTGTTTCTACCGGCGATCGAATTGATGTAAGCACTGACGAGTGTAATAGAGAAATTCTGATTGGTATTTAATTCAATGAGGATGGAGGAGTTAAAGTTTCAGAAGAGAATTAGAATGATAAAAGCAATAAAACAAGAAAATTTGAACTAGTATGTTTAGCATAGGGCCTATAAATCAGAATAGTACCTATAGGCAGGGTTCGTAGCGGGTCTGCCAAAGTCTTATAAGTACTTATTTTGCCAAAAATAAAATAAGGGCCCTTATTAGTACTTATTTTTGGTGAAATCTTAGAAAAGTACTTAATAGTCCTTATTTTTTGCCAAAGATCTCGACTTAGAGTAAGAATTGTTGTATATATAATA